TCTATAATAAAGAAGCCAAGAGTATGCAGTAGATAACGGAAAGTCTCTTCAACAAACTGTTGTGAAAACTGGACAGCCACATGTAGGAAAATGAAATATACCACTCTCTCTGCTATATATATATATATAAAACTCAAAATGGACTGAGGAATTGAGTATAAGACCAGAATCCACTAAATACACAGGGAAAAACACATAGACAGAACACTCCATAGTACAGGCTTCAGGGATGACTTTGGGACTCAACTCCAATGCAAAGAAAATAAAATCAAAAAAGAACAAATGAGACTACCTTAAACTAAAAAGCTCTGCACAGCAAATAAGACTATCAGTAAAACAAAGACACCTTACTAAATGGGAGAAAATGTTTGCATGTCATACATCCAACAAGGGACTAATATCCAAGATTTACAAAGAAACTCATATAACTCCATAAAAATGATAATAAAAAAAATGTGTAGAGGTGCTAAACAGACACATCTCCAAAGATGATATACAAATGGCCTACAGGCAAGTGGAAAAAATGTTCAACATCACTTACCATGACAGAAATGTAAATCAAAATAACAACGAGGTAACATTTCACTCCAGTGAGAATGGCACATATCAAAAAACCCAGAACCAATAAATGTTGGTAAAGGTGTGAAGGAAAAGTAATCTTTGTACACAGTTGTTGGGAATGTAGACTTCTCCAGCCCCTATGAAATACAGCATAGAGGTTCCTAGAAGTGCTATAAATAGATGTTATGCTCCAGTAATTCCACTCCTTGGCATTTATCCAAAGAATGTATAAACACTAATTTGAAGTGATATATGCAGTGTTATGTACAATGCAGCACTGTTTACAATAGCCAAGTTATGAAAAGAACCTAAGTGCCCAACGACTTATGACTGAATTAAGAGTACATGGTATATATACACGATGGATACTATTCAGTTATAAAAACAATGAACTTCTGTCATTTTCAACACCATGAATGGGATTGGAGGCAACTGTGCTCATATGAGTAATGAGGAGGGGAAAAAAATGAAAGGACTGACAGAACTAAACCAAAACACAGTCCAGAGGTGACTGCAGAATTGAGGCTACTAAAGGAGGAGAATGGGAAAATGGGGTGGGAACAAAATGTGGAGGGGGCCCAGTGCTATATTAAAAAGGGATATGTGGGCCCTCCCTGGCGCAGCAGGTTAAAGCACAGCACTAATAAACTAAAGCCACTTCAGCATGAGTTCAATCCCTGCCCCAGAGGTGACCCACATGGCACAGCAGACCTCTCCTGACCCACCTGCTGCGCCCCTCAGCATTGTATTCCATCAGTTGGCCTGTTCTGCTCCCCACACTGTCTCTGGTGGATCCTCTTACCGCCCTGCACTTCTGGTCTGTACCCTAGTTCTGTCTGCATAAATAAATAAATAAATCTTTTTTAAAAAAAGGTATATGGGGTAGGTGGGCTGTGATGATTTACATTTGAGGCGGTGTTTGCCTATTCCTCCGAATCATATAGATGATGTAAAACAACAATTACCTCAAATAAATATATTATCTATAAAATTAATTATGCCTTGCATATAAAATAATATATAAAACATCCAAAAATCTTATTTTTTATTATTTAGACAGAGTATGCACCTTTCTAAATTTGAAATAAGTATAGATTCACAAGAAAATGCAAAGAAATGTATAGGAAGTTTCTGTGAACCATTCTCCCATTCCCCCCAAATGTTAACATCTCATGTAACTATAATACAGTATCAAACAAAGGAGATTGAAATTGGTGCAATTCAGGGATCTTATTCAGAGTTCACCAATTATACATACACTCCTGTGTGTGTGTGTTTGTATGTGTGTGTAGCTCTAGGCGATTTTATCACGTGCAGCTTTGGGCAAGTGGTAAACATTATGACAATCAGGATAGTGACACTGTAATAGTACTATGTGAACGGAACCATCACAATTGTGAACCGAACCATCATAAGTATCATCCCTGGAACTACTCCCTCTGCTCTGCTCCCCACCTAATCATAAATCCACAAATCTCTGATTCATCTCCATACTTTGTTATTTTACAACGTGTTACATAAGTGGAATCATTCACTATGTATCCCTTTGAGATTGGCTTTTTATCTCGGGATAATTTATTTGAGGCCCATCAAAATCCTTTTATTGATGAGTAGTTTTCATGGTGGGCACGTACGATTTGTTTATCTTTAGAACATTTGGGTGGTTTCCAGTATTGGGGTAATATAGATAAAACTGCTATGGACATGTTCCTGGGTGCCATGGGTGAAAATCAGTCTTCATTTCTTTGGAATATATGCCCAAGGGTGCAATTGCTGAGTTGCATGTTAAGTCTAATTTTAGTTGTAAAAGAAACTACCGAACTCTTCTACAGAGTGTCTATTCCAGCTTACATTTCCATCAGCAATGTATGAATGATCCACTTTCTCCACATCCTCTCTAGCATTTGTTCCTGTCAGTACATATACACATGTATGAAAAATAAATAGATCTCCAGTCACCTGGGTGGAAATGCAGAAGTTGTTTGTGTGGTATTTCCACACACTGGAAGAAAATTTAGGCATCAGGCAGGGTTATGTTCTTTTTTTTTTTTTTTTTTTTTTTTGTAATTGTACTTTTAAACCTCAACTCTAACCTCCTTTCTTTTCTATCACATCCCCAGCAATTCCATCTTAAAGACTCTAGCCTCAATAATTTCCCTAAGATCCCAAATGGCTGATCTGAAGTCAGGCTATTTGACCTAGAGCAGTGTTGCTTTGAATTGGTCCTTCTTGTAATCATCCTGGTCTGCTGAGGGACATCTGGAGGTAGGAAATACATTCTAACCAAACTGCTCTATTAATTCTCCTGAGAATGCCCCTCATAGGACTTGACTAAAACATGTAATGTTAGACTCCTACACAGAAACACTAGCTCCCATGGGTAGGAAGAGAAGCTCACATCCACCAGCAGGGGCACGTCCATATGAAGATATGTAAGTATACAGCAAGTCACAAATTGACTCAATCATGCACCGAGGGGGTGAGGTGGGAGGTGGTGAACTTCAAAATAGACTCTCCTATTCTTCCTAGGGTCTGTGAATTCTGCATAGCTAACAAGGATTCATAATGAGCACTGGATGACCAACATCCCTTAATAGTGGTGACTCAGGAGATCAGGCGCCTGCCATGAGTCACTGTGGAAGGTGCCCCAACAGGGAATCAAGCTATCCCGAAATAGTTAAGGGCTCCATTCTGCGCTTCCACCTGGAACTCCCCCTGCAGGATTCCCTTGAAACAATGGTTTTCACTGCCTCTGAGGGGCTGTGGGGAAGTTGGGGGGGGAGGTGCCTCTGTATCTACCCTATTATAGTGAACTGAGCAATATCTTTACCTATAGTGAGACTTCCAGCCCTTTACCCTCAAGCAGGGGCAGAGTAAAGTGAAGGTCACTGTTGTCAGCCCATAGCCTGTCCACATAGGGTAACCACACTCAACTTCCTTCTTTGTTGAGATCACCACTACACTGCTGCTGCTGGGCAGGAAAGCCACCCTGCAGAGTGCAAGCAACATAATAAACCACATGATAACACTCAAACCCAAAATCTCTGTGCCCCTGATAATGGCAGCACAGTACAGGCAGGTGGGAGCCAGGAGAAGGAGCAGCATCTGAGATACTACTCACTGGGAGCTTCCTCTTCACTGTCACTCCTTCCACTCTTCCTCAAGCAGGAGCTGAGAAATGCCTAACAAAAGGTGATGAAATACCCAAACGCCCCACCAAATGACATTCCACAAAAGAAGTGTCTGCTGCAGTGGGAACCTTGAAAATAGCTGAGACAGAGTTCAACTGTGATAGGGCTAAAAGACCCCTGAGAAAGATGGCTGACTACTTCTTGGTTGGTTGTTTTTTCTCCTCTACCCCAGAGTTTAAAAGCCCCATGCCAAAGGATGGCTATACTATGTTACCTCTGAGCAAAGAATGGAATGCAGCGGGTCACGCACACACACCCCAGTACCTGGCTTCATAGAGGGAAAAGCCAGGAATGGAACATTCTGACCTGAAGATCAGAACCAGCTTACAAGTATCCCAGTGCTTCAGTCTACACCACTGAAGTGATGCCTGCCCTTGCTAAGATGCATAGAATATCGAGTGATAGAACGATTACTACCATGAGGTGACCTCTCATGCCTGACCTATCCAGTGACACCACATTAACCTCTCCCATAAAACTCCTCTTGGGCCAAGTATCCAGGATTGACTTTAGCCTAGAAAGCATATCTAAGTTTCTGTGCTGAATACACTAAATAATTAGTGTGGGGGCAATCTCTTCCATGCTCTACACACAAAGGCTATCTTTGAAGCCATCCTTATCTATTACTCAAGCCATGTAGTTATCCTACCTCTACAACTGAGATTAAGATTTGCCTCAATACATAAAACGAGATTCTGCCTCTGACATTTTTGGAGTAAAATGGCCTGCATATGACGCTCTCATTTTCTAGAAGTCCAAGGCCAAGTCATGCTGTGTTTCAGAGTATCTGGGAAGTTTCTCTTTATCCACTTGACTTCTGATGACCTCATCTCATCTTATACCGGTTGCTGAGCTTCCAGCTTCCATTTATAATCCCCACAGTGCCAACTCAGAGGAGTGGAGGTGTGATGAGAACTCAAATATTGTTACTCTGACCTTTTGCTAGTGCTCACCTTGTTCCATTGGTGAGCTGTAAGTGGCACTTTTCCGCTGGCTGTTGTGTGTGGACAGAACCTAATACTGCGGCAGGATGACACATAAGCTGATTTGCTTCACACTTCCCACAAGGGCAGTGATGCCTCTGTACCACTACTTATAATTATTTCCCTGTCTTCTGGGGGTGTGTGCTTAGCAAACACAACCATCTAACCACAGCAGTATATAAATTGCTATCCCTAGAATTCAAATGCTATGTTTACACTCCTGCGCCTAAGAATTTCCCAGAGGACAAGAGACATACTCTCATGCTGTGAGCCTCTTCCATGAAATCTGAAAGTTACTTGGCACCATGGATTAAATATCAGGAAGGGCTGAAATCATTATTAACTAAAGACAGGAAATTCAGTAATTAATTAATGCTGCTAAAATGTTTCTCACTGATAAATTATGGCAAGGGATGAGAAATTATAAAAGAAGTGAGAAAGGCACATACCAAGAAAGTCTTCAAAAATGCTTAAATTGAAAGGTATCTCCTAACGTGTCCTTTAAGTAGGAAGAAAACAGCAGGAAGCAAGGGGTTACATGGGTCTAGTATTAAGATACATTATTAAGAAGCAATGATGTCCATTCTGTTACCACAAGTTTTCCTTATTCTGCAAGGAACACTCAGCCCTTCTGAAAGCAAGGGGAATAGAGGCTGTGAACGTGGATAGCACTTACTTGAAATAAAATAATATCTTTTACATGGTACCAACTATCATCTGAAAAAGAATCTATTAGGTACCAGGTACTGCACTAAACACTTAACATGCCATTAGTCCTTAGAACAACCCTGTAAGGTGGGGAGTTAGTCTCCTAGATAAATGAGGAGATGAGTGGCAAGTGATGGTTTTTGCCCAAGGTGACAAAGCTAGGAGATGACAGCGCTAGGATTTCAACCCAGATGTGTCTGACTCCAAAGTCCACTCTATTAACACTGCACTTTCCATGGTTAGCCTCACGCATGCAGAAGCAGATGTCAGTAACTACATTTCACAGACTGGGCATTAAGGAATAGGACAGAGCAGCACTATTCTGAAAAGTCTAAAACATTTTCTCTTCCATATAATCCAGCCTTCAAAGAGAGGAAATGAAATAATTAGCTGTCTTCACTATCTTAGAAAAAAAATCTCCACCCAGGGATATCAGTTTTAGTGACATGGACCCTGCAGGAGGTGGTATGCAAGACGATCCAGCTTTCTGTGTCAACACCACGTTGTTACGGCGATGAAACTGGAACATGACCTGAGTTGTGCCTATTAAAAAACAGTAGTATGCAGGCAGGAATCTGGGCTGTAACCCTGTCTCCATACACTGTATTTGTTTTTAATGAACTAATTTCACCTTGTATTGATGTCACAGTCATTTTGAAGCTGTGCAAACTGCTTTACAGAATGTTTAAGGCTTTAGAAAACCTTTGGGCCTAAAATTTCAAAATGCTTCCCTGATACTCTATAGTGGGGAATATGCTTATCTACAAATGGATAAATAAGAACTGAGCAGTTAAAGCATTCACTGCAAATCAAAAAGGCACAGTATACCTAGAATATCAATTCTGGGTCCAAACCACTAGGTTGGTGTGTTTTTTAATCTCTTTAGAGTTTGAAAATTTTGATCTCTGAATGTCCCAAACTATTTACACGATAAATCATGATTATAAGCATGTAAAATCATTTTTAAGCATTTTCCCCCTAAAAAAAAAACCATTACAACCACCTTGAAACTGTGTTGCACCTTAAGCTCATGGATTTGGTTACCTTTTTTTTTAAGATTTATTTATTTATGCATATAGAACTGGGGTACAGGCCAGAGATGCGGAGGGTGAGAGGATTCACCAGAGACAGAGTGGGGAGCAGAACAGGCAGATCAATGAAGTACACTGCTGAGGGGAGCAGTGAGCAGGGTCAGGAGAGGTCTGCCTCATCACATGGATCTCCTCCAGGGCAGTTGGGAATCGAACTCATGAGGAAGTGGCTTAAGCTTCTTAGTGCTGTGCTTTAACCCGCTGCGCCACCAGGGAGGGCCGGATTTGGTTACCTTTAAAGCCGGTGATTAGACCCGAAATGATGCCAGGTATCTCCCATTTTCCCACCTTGGAGGAACCTAGATCACTTTTGGGATTGGGAGGGTTGCTTTTGAAACCTTGTATTAACCAGCCTGATGCCAATTAGGGATTAGTTTTGGAGTCAGATGCCTTGAACTTGAATCTTGACTCTGATCCCCAGCAATAAAGTCCTTTAGCCTTAGTTTTCTTGTCTGTACAATGAGAATGAAATCAACACCACACACTGGATTAGGACAAGAGTCCAAAGACACAAGGCATCCTCAGGGCATGGGAAATGTGTAGGCATTTTAGAAGGTGGTAGCGTATGGGACAAAAACTAAGTGGTAGTTTGGAAAGACCATTACATTTTTTGGCTATAACATGCCTGATTGGGAAGGGTCTCTGAAGGGTCAGTTTGAAAATTCAGTATTATGAGGATACAGAGAAAGCTGATTGGTAATAGTGTTCCTCATATGCATGACAAGGCCTTCCAAAGTTGTGTCCAACAGGCTTCCAAAGGCAGCAAACTTGAGACTGAAAATCACAAAAGCTTGCATCTATCAACGGATGCTGCTCAGTGTAGAAATTGGCTTGTGTGAAGTGCATGGGGGATCAGATCCAGCCTCAGACCAGGGCATCTCTGAAAGTCAGCCAGGGCCTCATGCTGCACTCAGAGAAATAAAGTATATAGAAGTGGGGAAGTGGGGAGTTCAGTGAAAGCATCCCAGTACCTCAGGTTGCACCAAAAGCAAATCTAGAGATTGAGAAATGGTGGGTTGAACAGTAGGAAGAAAATTAGAAATTGTTAATAGCCTGTGCCATTTTCCCTGATCATTTCCCTTTCTCCTTATCACATCCCTCATTCACCTGTCCTACTCATAACTTCCAGTTCTTCTGTTCCCTAAGTTTTACATCCTCTGATGTCAAAACAACAAAAACAACAAACAAACAAAACAAAGAAAGGGAGGGAAGGAAGAAGGGAGGAAGACAAACCAATTTTCACAGGTTGGTTCCTTTGCTCACATTGTTTTGCTTGCCTAGAATTCTTATCACTCCACTTGACACCTTCCCCAAATTAAAAACAATCTGGAATACCCTTTGACTCATGTCTAAATCCAAGTCTAACCCATTCTGCTGAGTCCCAGTAGACTCTCTTTGAAACTCAAGAGTTCCTCTTTGGGCTTCTATTTTCTAGTTGGGATTGCAGTTATTTGTATACTTGGTCTTATTTCCTAAACTTGGCTATATTTGCCTTAAGCTAAGTAAGAATTATTGGCACAGTGTCTGGCACAGAGTAGGTTTCAATAAATGATTTTGTATAGAAAACTCATTGCTTGAAATAAGCCTCCGCCATCATCTCCCATCTGGATTTTTTGCAACAGTTTAAATGATCTTCCTGCCCTCCACCTTGTTCACCTCCAGTCTTTCCTTCTCACTGTCACAATGCACATCTTAGAAAAACTACTTTCATTATGTTTCTTTGCTACTCAAGAACCTTAAATGATGTCTCCTGTATAAAGTTCAAATCCCTTTGCCTTTCTTTCAAAGCTCTTTGATGAGAGCTGAATAGCATTCTTGCTGTACACCGCTTCCAGTTCTAAATTTAATTGATCTCATCTCCATGAGGAAGTCCTCCTAGACTACTCCATTCCTTATTTGTTTCTCGTTTATAATTCTACTGCGTTACTCTCTACTCTCTATACCACTCAGGCTGTAACTCAATTTTATTTTCATGGAATTGTTATGTACTTGTCTACAGTGCACATGTTTTGTCTTCGAAGTGACTACAGATTTCACTCTCCCTTTGCTTTTCCACACTAAATAGAAGATGCTGGAGACCCACCAGGCCTTCAGTTCATACTTGCAAATATTTTAAAATTTATTCTCACTGATTACTCTCTCTGAACTCCACTGTCTGCAGCCATTTTAAGGGACATCTGGGTCAGCTCATAGCTATAAGACAAAACTTATCTGGAAAAATGAGTTTTCTTTAAGAAAGTTTTCTCACTCTCAACTTTCATAGCAAATCTTGTATACCCTAAGTAGTATAATTTAGCTTGCTGTCTTGGGAGCTCTTTTATACACACACACACACACACACACACACACACACACACACACACACACATGCCTTCTTTGTTAGTCTTGATAATTTAAAAGTTATTAGATGTCTACTATTTACCAAATCACTAACACAGAATATTTGATATCAAAAACAACATTTTCTTCTTATTATTTTAACACAAGAGGAATATTTTCTTGCTCCTTTTATTTATATCTAGATAACAATCCACCTTCCTTATAGGTTTTCCTTAACACAGTATATTCATAGGCATATAAATAGAGGCTTGGGTAAAGAGAGGAAAGTCATTTGCATTCTGACTATAACACAATAGCAACACTCCTCTCATTTCAAGACCATTCAGAGGATTTTCACCAATATTGAGAAAATAGCCAAAGAAAGGATAGAAGAGAAATTGAAAAAAATAACTCAGGATCAACACGTGAAAAGAAAATGTTCCTTTAAAAATTATACGTTCTCTTTTTCCCTTCTCTTACAATACACCACCTCTTAAACTACTATTATTTACTCCTGGCCTATTTCCCCCACACATTATTTATCCACATTTATCTCTCTTCCATTATCTGATTCTATTGATTTCTGTTCCATTGCTTTGGAGGGCAGGGGGTGGGTGGCACACTTTTTCTGCCATGCTTATTTTTTCATGACACAATAGGCATGGTCCTTTAACCCTTAATGCCTCGCCTTTCTCTAATCACCATCTTAGCTCAAGCCTCACCAGCACCTCCAATTCAAATTTTCCAAAATTGAATTCCTCATCTTCCTCTAGCTATTACCTATGCCTGTGCTTGCTCCTGTCTTCTCTATAATTTTAACAATCTCAGGCTAGAAAGTTCAGTCACCTACTTTTCTCTCTCTCACAATCCACACTCAATTACAAACCAGCCTTGTCAGCCTGTTTTTATTTACTTCTTAAATGCTGATTGCCTTAGGTCCTCAATATTTCTTGCTCAGACTGATGTCTCTTTCTCATGAGTTTATGGATTGGGAGAGCTATGTTAATTTTCGTTTTTACATTATATGTGTGTGTGTGTGTGTACGCATGTATGGTGTATTTACATTGTTCCTTTAAAATTGAAACAGAAAATCAAATACTTGGGAATAAACCTAACTAAAGAGATGAAGGACCTATATAAAGAAAATTATAAAACACTATTAAAAGAAATAGCAGAAAACACAAAGAAATGGAAAAATATCACCTGCTCAAGGATTGAAAGAATTAACATTATTATAACTGTCATCCTACCAAAAACTTTCTTAAATTTAAAATTTGTCATGTTACTCTTCCATATGTGAGGAAAAGGTGAAAACTAGAACTTTAGTAATGTCTACATAGTTACTAATGTATAATGTGGTATACTGGAAACCTACAATGTTCTAAAACAATGTTACTTCAATTAAAAAAATAAATAAGACAGTTGAAAAAACCTGATAGAAACTTATCAATACAAAAACAAAAACAAAAAACAAAACCCTTCCATGATTCTCCAATGCTTATGGAATAGAACACACATTTCTTCACCCGGCTTTTAAGGCCCGCAGTGGTGTACTTCTCACTAACTTTTTCCAGCTTTTCTTTCTGATGCATTAAAAGTTCCATCCATATCTTGTCTGTGGGATTTTCATAGCATTGTCTTTTCTACTTCTGCCATGTCTATGCATAAGATATTCCCTCCGTCTCCTGTCTCTTTACCTGTGTTTTCCTATCCAATTTGTATTTAAGATACCATCCAGACCTCGCCTCTTTTAAATAACCTTTCAAGACTGAATGGCTTCCTATTTCTACTTAGCACAGTCTCTGTCACTAGTAAACTCTTAGAAAAGTTCGTGTACTTGAACACACATAAGAACATATAAACTTTAGGGAATTTATCGCTTGTGGAAATGAGACAAGCTGAAAGTTGGTTAAATAGGAGAGCTGGGCAACAGGTAGGCACCAGAGGGAAAGCACCCAGAGCTTCCTCTATATGCTTCAATGCCCAGCTAAATCTCCTGCCAACAGTGTGTGTGCGCGCATGCCTACTAGCGGTTTGTTTGGCTACTGCAGTACATACACTTGGGTGTGAACCTCTGAATGAATGTACCAGTGTACACTTGTGGATGTTTGCCTGTCTGCCTGAAGTCTTATAAACTGCTGTTTCAAACCTTTGTTACATGTTTCTGTTTTAAAATGACATTCAGGTTAAATGTGATATGGAGGAAAATTTTTACTTTTGGAAATCATTTCTTAGCTATTTTAAAGGCTTCTATGGAGGTGTGAATGGGGGGGGCATTGTATTTAAATGTAAGAAATAAATTAAAGGACCAGCCCATCCCATAGATACTCTGGGCACATCAGGAAACAGGAAACAGAAGCACTTGCTAAATATACTTTATTTTCATTTGTCAGAAAATTGTAATATACATGTAGTGCACATGCATATACGTGTATATACAGTCGACTTTGTGAAAGTGCCAACCTTATGTAATCTACAACTTCACAAGTTTATATGATGATCCTGCTCAGTAGGTATTTCAGAAAGAGCTTAAGTTATTGATATCTTTTAAGTGTTAATCTGCCTGTTCTGCTCCCCACTCTGTCTCTGGTGAATCCTCTCTTCTCCCACCCACGCAATCTCTGGCCTATATCCCAGCCCTTGTATGAATAAATAAATAAAAATCTTTGGAAAATGTTAAGATTAATAAAAAGGTCACCAAGCCACACCTAGATATGTGTTTAACCTTGCTGTCTTTTACACGATACCTAAGTATAACATTTTGTGTTGCTATACTTGAGTATTTTAATAAGTATGCATTTTGACTATTTTTAAAGATCTGACAATATAATTTATCATTCTCATTTTTAACAAAGTTAACTTTGTTTATGACGGTAATTCAGGAACACATGGTTGAGACAGGGCTGTTACCACTGCAGTGTCCCTGTGTATGAATTACAAAAACCTACCGCCCTCTGGGAGAATATGAAGCAGACCTGCCTACATTACCTACTGCCAATGTACCTGAATTGCTAAGTCTATTTTCTGAGGGGTGCATATATTAAAATTTATGTGCATATCTAAAGGCAGAAAGCGATGATAGAAAATATCATGGTACATGTATACATGATGATAAAGTAAGAATGTGCAGAGTTCTTATTCTTAAAATACATGTTTTAAATCTAATTCCTCATTCAGTCTTCATGGTATTTTTATAATGTAGTTCAGCCACCCATTATTCAGTGGCAGGTTTTATTATTCCTATAGCCCTAGTGGGATATGCAAGTTAATGATCTCAGTGTCTATGTGCAAATAAGAAACAGATGTTTGTATAGGGTGCCCTGGAAGCATAAGAGACGGCCACCTAGGCCCAGATGGGACACCAGTAGCAGACACTGCTGAGTGGCATTGAGTCAACAGCACATTATTGGCTTCATTTAAGACACAAACGCTCAGCTACAGAAAGATCAGGCAATTTGTCCCAATATTGCACACCTATGCAAAATGCTGTTGTGACTACAACATGAAGTAACTCCCAGTCTAAGCAAGAGTCCCAGCTACAGAGCCTTTGGTTCAAGGAACCATTTGAATTTATTTGAGAAATAAATTTTAATTGAAATAATATTTTCTTTGAGGAAGTTCCACACTTACAGGCATCATGGGCACATGTTAAATATTAGAATATTAGCAAAATGCAGGCTTGCCAAAATAAGCCAAGCCTGTGGTCTTCTAATTAACACCTATACCACAATCCTGGCAACATTTAGTTCTACATCTTGTGGCTGCTGAAGCTAACCACAGGAAGATGCACTGTATAAAATGAAGCATCAGCTCAAATTTCCTCCCATACTAACTTTAAGAGACCTGAGTCATTCAAATCATTCCCCAAAGTTCTTCAACCACCAAAGCAGCAAACAAAAATGCTGCTAATTAAATGTGTGATTAGAGTTTATCATAACCAACCTGTATTAGTTTGAAGTCTCATTTACCACTGCCTCAAACTGGCCTTGTCCTGTTTTCGCTTGTGCTTAATTTTCCTGTGTTATATGTGTTTAATTTCATAGGCTACTTCATATCTTTTCTGGATACTGGCAGAGTGCAAATTTTAAATAAATAATAACAATAAACTTAATTTATGTAGAATTGGCTCTTTGATGTGCTTCATGTACATTTATAATACACTGGGGTCCCTTACAACAGCGATGCATATCATACATTAATGCCCCTTTTATAGCACTTGGAACAATTTTGCTGCTTTAAACTATTGCAGAGGCTTGCAGTTATATCGTAGCTTCTACTACATAATTTTAGTTAGATCTACAATTTACTTGGTGTGGTGTCTTTGGTCACAAACAAAGATAATGCACACTTTGATGACCCACTTTATGAGGTTGTTGTCACATATGGGGAGACGTTGAAGGGAGGGGGCGTGGAAAGTGGATATTCTAGAATGGCCACTTTTTCAGGAGAGTACTAATTTGTGGAATATTTTAAAACCCTGATTTGCTTCTTTTTTTAAGATTTATTTATGCATACATAGCTGGGGTAAAGGCCAGAGGTGCAGGGGCAGTGACAGGATTCACCAGAGAGAAAGTGGGGAGCAGAACAGGCTGACTGATGAAATACACTGCTAAGAGGAGCAGCGGGCGGGTGAGGAGAGGTCTGCTGTGCCATGTGGTCACCTCCAGGGCCAGGGATTGAACTCATGTTGAAGTGGCTTCAGCTTCTTAGTGCTGTGCTTTAACCTGCTGCGCCACCAGGGAGGGCCCTGATTTGCTTCTTTCTATTATTCAATGTGTCCCTACACCATCAGTCTCCTTGTCAAGAAGCCAGTCATAAACATGGAGTGCAAATACACATTCCTATTCGTCTAAAATGAACAATTGGGAAGGTGTATCAGTTACAAGCCCATTTTAGCAAAGAGGAGGTTTAATGAAATACATGTCTATATTTATGGTTAAATATTGGGCTTTCATTTAAAATGTCATTGAGAAAGACACCAAAAGATTCTGCTGCCAAAACAGTTTTTAAAACACTGGTTGATCCTCATATCACTTTTCAGGATATTCTATGGGTTAACAACACTTGAAGATTAAAGGTTTCACTGGATTCCCATCATGGTTTCTTACTTTTGCTATAGAAAACCCTGTCACGAATTAGGAAAAGTATCATGAAGAAAGAAAGTAGACTAGATTATTTTTCACGAAAGTAGAATGTGAGTCAAAGAAGATCCAAAACAGTAGAAAAAGGACACTAGACACTGTGATTATTTTCTTCCATTTTTTTTTTTAGCTTTAGTAGTTTAATTTGGGACTTGGCATACAAGGAAATTGAAAGTTAGTTTTAATTATATGCCCCATCAACCAGCTCTCCACTTCAGCCATGTTATTTTACTAATCACCGGCACTTTAATGGTTGAGACTCTAATGGCTGAATGATACACAAAATTTTGTCAGCTGCTTTCAAAGTTTCAGCAGAACTTGTCTTATCCCATCTACTTTTTCCCCACATTATTTCAATCTGTATGCTATAATTATATCAAAGTGACCCTTTTTTAAAAAATTCCATATACAAGAATCTCACTCTTTTATCTGCAAACTCTAGCCTCAGTGGCCCAATTTATATATAACCACACTTTTACCTGAGTTTCCCCTGTCACTTGCTTCATTTGACTCCAGTTTTCTTTAGGTTTGAGAAGATATATCATCCAGACTTACCACATCTAACTTTATTTCCCCTCCCCAAACTTCTTATATACAAGTGAATTTGCTATCGGAAAATCGCTCACAGAAAATCACTCAGTGAATCTGATCTACTCCTGAAAATTAGTTGGATGGTGAATTTTGGGTAGTGGGAGACTTTACTTCATTATTCTAAATTCCATCTTAAAACCTCAAACAATTTTCTCAAATACTACCAAAGATACTCTAAAATACTCATGCAACAATCCTCCCAATATATATCACACTGTAAAACATTTAAAGCACACATTAGCAATTACTGTGCACATAGCTTATTAACAGATATGTTCTGTGTATTCATGATAAATGGGTACCCCCACCACAGCCACAACCAAAAAGAAGCAAGCTTTCAAATTGCCTAGGAATGTCTATCTTTGCTTCCACAGTAAGAGAAAAGTTGGAGGAACTCCTTTATTTAGTAGTGATGAGAAATGGTGGCAAGGCAAAGAAAGACTTCCCTAGGGATTTCTAGAAAGAGGACTCACTAGTGAGAAGTCATGTAATAGGCAGACCTTGAAGAAAGTCACTAAAGGAGGGCTTTGATTCCAAGTGAAACCAAAGTGGAGTCCCTTCCCCCAAATGCCCTGGAGATGTTGTGACCAAGTTGAGTAAATTAAAGGAGACCATGCCAAAATTATCATTTTAATGAGTCTTAACAGTCAAGCAGAATAAGGCCAGGAGGTGAGAAAGGGACCCCCACCCTACCCTAGTTCTGGGTGAGAGAAAAGTTCTGTTCTACTCAAGCCTGGCAGGAAGGAAATGGTTGCCGCAAACACTAATCAAGGCTTGTGAGAAAGACACCAACTTGCTAATTTCCTGATATCAATAATCTTGTTCTGTAGCCTCATTTACTTCCCTCTTTATTGTTTATGTTTAACTGTTTTAATACAGTTACATGACACTTTAATTCTGCATATGTACAGTGATAAAATAAACTGAAATAATGTTAAAGGTACATAATAAATGTGAATTATGCTTATTAAGGGAAAAGAATCAATCAATGTAATTATATGCGGGACTCAGAAACTGCTGCTAGGTTGGGGTTCAGAGGAACAGTGCTGTGGTTCTGGTGCCTGCTTCAGGTGAATGGGAACCCAATGGAGAGTGTCTGGTGTTACATAAAACTTTCCTGGTTTTGACCCATTCGTCTATTTGGAGGCATCTAGGTTGTTTCTATGTCTTAGTTTTTGTAAATAGTGTCGCAATAAACATTAGAGTGCAGGTTTTCTTTCAAATTGGTGTTTTTGTGTCCTAAGAGCGGAATCGTGGGATCATATGGCACATCCATCTTCATGTTCCAAGGAACCTCCACACAGCCTTCCATCGTGGCTGAACCAGTTTACATTCACACCAGCAATATGAGTGTCCTTTTATCTGCACATCCTCTCTGTTGTTTTTTTTTTTTTTCTTTTTCTTCTTTTTTTAATATGAGCCATTCTTACTGGTCTGAAGTGCTATCTCATTGTGGTTCAGATTTGCATTTCCCTGATAATTGGTCTATTTATACAATGGACTATTACTTGGCAATCAAAAAGAAGTACACCATTTGTGGCCAACATAGATGGAGCTGGAAAGGATTATGCTAGCCAAAATTAGAAGGAAAAATACAAATGCAGAATGATCTAACTTTTATGTGGAATATAGAGAGCCCAAACAAAAGGTCAAGAAAAAGTCAAAACTAGCAGCTGACCATAAAACTGAGGCATATAGCAAGGGAGGGGTGGGGAAGTGCAGAACAGGGGAGGGGTGAACACAGGGGATATGGGGATGGTTCACTGGTGATACAGTGGTAGGAGAATTATGGGGACTAAAAAAATGAAGAAAAAATAATTAATAAAAAGTACATTTTTACAACTTTCCTGGTTTTGAGTCTCTGTGCTTGAGTAGAAATAAGGAAGACTTACGAACTTTACACATCAGATAACTTTAATGTCCTGCTTCAAACTGCAAAATCCCAGGACAGGTGGAGAGAGGCATTAACTATAGGAGACAGCAAATGAAGGCAAAGTTCAGAATCTGAGTGTCCTTAGTGCATCCCTGCAGGTGGAGCTTCTGTCCCCCTCCTCTTCCTGGTGCCAGTTCACTTGTCCACTGCTTCTCCTTTCAGAACAACTCTGCAAACTCTGGCTGGGAGCCTCACACCTATTTCCTAGAATCCTATGGTACTACCTGCCTCACCTGTGCTATCAGGTAAATAAGGGGATGGGTATCTCTGTCCTCAGGGGCCAATATCCAATATCTCTTTCACAAGCTTTTTAAAACAAAAGGCTTAAACAGTAAATGTCTTCAACACTTTGGAAGATGAAAATCTAAAGTGCTACAAGTAAGGCTGAAGATATTACACTTCCATTTAAATTACTGATTCAACCTTGCTTTGATTGTAGACAGTTTATTAACTCAATTTTCTACCATGTTTGGTTAATGAAAGCTGGATGAATTGAATATTCTTTTATAATTGTTGATAATGTCCTCCCACATATGTATTTCCTTTCTAACTAGGAGGTCACCAGATGAACATGATTCAGTGACTTCATGTTAAAGAGACAGAACCACCAATATATTTCTGCAAATAGTTAAAAATGAGCCAAGAGAGTCTCAGGAATTTAGATTCGCCTTTTAGTAATTTAACAGAATGGAGGTGGATTTTGTTCCTGGTTTCCTTCTCAAGGACAAAATAGGAAAAGTTAGCTGGACAAAGGAAATCTGAATGTCCAAGAAAATACAGTCAATAAAAGGAAGATCATTTGAGTATCAAACCTCAGTTCGTGCAGGCACATTGTGTCTACATACAATGTATAGTTCAAGCACATATTTATTAGTCATATTAAACAGTTACTTCACTAAAAACCTTTAAGCTAACATTAACAAGTGTTTCCTAAGTACAGTGTAAAAGAATGCACATGATCTAATAACTAAATTGGGGGGAGTCACGGGGCAGAAACCCGCACTTTCCCAGATGGCTTATGATGAGACGCTAAGCTTGTATTAGGAGAAAATAAATGGGAAATATATCAAAATACTAATATAGTTTACTTGTTGAGTGGTGGGGTGCTTTCAGATTTTTATTTACTTTTTGGAAAATTTTTAAATTTTCCATTCTCTGAAATCAACATGTATTCCTTTATTTTATTACACTGAATTTTGAAGAGAAGGTATGCTGACAGCATTGACCACTAAAGTGAATGCTTCATTATGCATCGGTAAAATAAATGTTCACCCCATATAATTTGTTTTGGTAACTGAGAGGGGGTGTCTCATTTACCACTCTTGCTTACAGGAAGTCTCCTCTATGTGAATTTGCCCACCAGAGAAGAAGTATACAGCGCTTGGCCCAATGCTATGTACACACAAGATACAGCAGGTATTAAATTTAATTTGTAAATAAGTTAATGGATCAAAAATTTTGGGAACTACTAATTAAGTCTTTTTGCCTATTGAAATGACTTGCA